AAATTCAATTTTTCAGTGTGCTCTCCAAATTTTGACACGTGCTTCCCTTGACCAAGGTTTCTTCCATTCCCATTAATTAGTTTGAAATTAACTAACTTATTTAATATAATGAGCTTTTATAAAACGCGATCTGCATTGCGGATGTTATTTCATTTGGACATGTACATGTACACTGCCTTGCTGTCTTTCTTCCCTCTAAATATCAGTTTTAAGACAGTGATAGTATGTTTATGATTACTTTTGGGCCCCTAATGAAGAAGTTTGTATCAACGTTTCACTATACTGAAACCTTGAATACAGTTAATAAAAAATAATCCATCGTCTAACCCCACAAAGGGACATACCAATACGTTACTGTCACAAATGCAAAAACGTTTTACTCACTTTGAAAATTCAATCATCACGGTTTTTTTTCTTTAATTTATCTCCTACAAGTATAACGTTATAAAAAGTTATGATAATCTTCTGTATAGAGCAATTAATTGTTTTCTCTTTTTTTCATTCATAAGCTAGTATCTCAATCACGTATATGCAAGGTAAGTTACGATCGCAGGGTGTAAATGCGATATTGAGTTCCTTATTTCTAGGCACTGGGCGCGCGTTTGACGTTGAATTTGAATAAATCTTGTTTATGTGGAGTGATTGATGTTGTTGAATGTGATGTTTTTGTAAAATTTCCAACTAAAATCGCTTTGTATGCCCGTTTAAAGAATCAATTAAGGCATCGTGTTAATTATTAACGCACTTTTGAGTCTTTGCCAATTGGTTTACTGTTTTAAGAATTAAGGTATTCTGTTAATCATTAACGAACGCTTGAGTCTATACCCCTTAATTTAATGTTTTAAGACCCAGGGTTAATTATTAACGGACGTTTGAAATAAAACTTTAAGATATCGTGTTAATTAAATTATTAACGTAGGGCTGGAATCAAACATCAAAAAGATATTGCGTCAATTATTAACGCACGTTTGAAATAAAGTAACTAGATATTATATTAATTATTAACGCACGTTTGAAACAAAACATCAAAATATTGTATTAGTTATTAATGCACGTTTGAAATCAAATATCAATATATTGTGTTAATTATTAAGGCACGTTTGAAATAAAACATCAAGACGTGTTAATTATTATATCTAGAACTACGCCACTTATGGCTTGATGTTTCATAAAGCTATACACCAAAACCCAATACAGAGGTGCATGTCACGAGCTGAATTCTCCAATAATAAAAGTGAATTAAGTCGATGTAGTATTAATTTTTCAAAAACATGTATATAGAACAAAAATCCACGACTATTTCAACCTTACATCTACATACTGTTTCTATTATGGTTTATTGGAAATTTATCTTATCAATTCATCATGTTTTTACGTCGTTTTACCTGTAGAAAATAAAAAAGCAAATCCGTGCTGATTGAATTTTTTAAGTAAATACTCATTTCCTCGGCTTAAAGATTTGTAACTGTGACAGAAATGTATGTTTCTTTTGAGGGTAAGACGATGAATTATTTTTTTATTCTGCGTGGTTCCACGAGTGAATTTTTGCTACAGACTTTTTATATGGAACCCTCAATTTATCAAAAATTGTTTCTTATCCGTGCACCTAAAATATGTATATTTTCAAGGGCGTAATTGAGAATCAATAGTATCTCTATATTGGGCTCGGGAGTATTGTTTTATCATAAACGGTTCTTTACTAAAAGATTTGATGTTTAAAGAATTCAAATATCTTACCATGTTTAGCAGTTATCTGAGTCTTCCCCAAGGACTTTGCATCCACCCAACCTATGTCTCTCTATCCCAGTCAATCTTCTTGACAATGTTCAAAGCTTCCTAAATAAAGCAGCGATGAAGATGGCCCAGGTCTTTATATATATGACCGATGACAATTGTCACACGTTTAAATATACTTGAACGTCAAACCCTGATAACGTCAACAAACAATTTTGTTTTTTATCTTTGGCATCATTTTATATTTTCTCAATTAATGCATGCTCCCTATTATGTGAGCATGTTGCATTTATCTCTTTATATTACCCAGTGCCACACTAATTTAAATTCCATGAAACATCCATGATAATAATCATTAACACACACGTATCAGTCTATCAAACTTTGTTTAAGGGTTCCAAGAAGCTCTTGCGTTTATCATTAACAAACACTTCAACTTAGGCTATCAAACCTACTTTGATGTTTCAAGAAGGTATTGTGTTTTAACGTAATGATCATTAATTAAATTAATTATTATTATGTGATGATATGCAAAATGTACGGTGCACGTATATTGGTTGAAAATCCGTTTCCTGTCGCGTCCGTGCAGAGTCAGGTGGTTGACGTGCAGATTGATGTACGTCCTCAGTAGTCTCTATGATTGTGTGAAGTTAAAACATTTATTTTTCAACCCATAGGCGGCAGCATTCTTGTTGTTGGTAATGCACATTCCTCGTACGGGCATAGCTCTGTGGACTTACGCGATATTGATATTGGTTGAACCTGTTTTGGTCTTTTTTCCTCTCAGCTTTGTTGGTTTAATGAAGCATTACAACAAAGTAAGCATCTTTTAAACATGTAATTCATTTGAAGTAATGCGTGTCCTTATTCTAACCACATAAGTGTTTCAATTCCTTTAGTCTAAAGCCTAGATTACATTTGAAATGCGATGCCCGTACGGTGAACGTATACTGCCCGTAATACCCTTTTCGTACGGCGTCTGAGCGGAGATAGACGGTGGCTGTGCGACATAGCACGAAATCGTACGAATTTAAGGCCATGTAATGTAGACATACTCGGCGTAGTTCTTTACGATTTAAAAAATCGCACGCCCGTAGAAATGTAATCAAGGCTTATGGCAGTCGCCGTGCGTCTTCTGTGCGATACGTTATCAAACCAAGTTTTTAATACGCGCAGTCGCCGTGCATTTTCTGCGAAACCTGAAATCTGTTGAAAAGAATCGGTTTATTATTATTATTATTGTTGTTGTTGTTGTTGTTACATTTTACTCTGTAAGTAAATAACAGCTAAAGGAAAGAAACTTGATTGAATGTTTTCTTTTTCAAAAGTTTGTTTTCATTTATTTTGCACCTTTATTTTGTTGATTTGTTCATATCTTAACATCAGTATTATATATAAAATTCAATTTTTCAGTGTGCTCTGCAAATCTTGATACGTGTTTCCCTTGACCAAGGTCTCTTCCATTCCCATTAATTAGTTTGAAATTAACTGACTTATTTAATTTAATTCAATTTTTCAATTTGCTCTCCAAATCAATTCAATTTTTCAATGTGCTCTCCAAATCTTGATACGTGCTTCCCGTGACCAAGGTCTCTTCCATTCCCATTAATTAGTTTGAAATTAACTAACTTATTTAATATAATGAGCTTTTATAAAACGTGATCTGCATTGCGGATGCTATTTCATTTGTACATGTACATGTACACTGCCTTGCTGTCTTTCTTCCCTCTAAATATCAGTTTTAAGACAGTGATAGTATGTTTATGATTACTTTTGGGCCCCTAATGAAGAAGTTTGTATCAACGTTTCACTATACTGAAACCTTGAATACAGTTAATAAAAAATAATCCATCGTCTAACCCCACAAAGGGACATAACAATACGTTACTGTCACAAATGCAAAAACGTTTTACTCACTTTGAAAATTCAATCATCACGGTTTTTTTTTCTTTAATTTATCTCCTACAAGTATAACGTTATAAAAAGTTATGATAATCTTTTGTATAGAGCAATTAATTTTTTTCTCTTTTTTTTGAGCGACGTTAGTTTGCTTGTCACTGAATATTATCAAGGAGGATACACCCCACCGACAGTAAAGTAAGCATAAAATAAACTATTGCATCCGTGGTCCAAATATTTTATCAGAAACGTCAAACTACCATGGAATAACAATATATTTTTCAGAAAGCAGCACAAACCCTGTTTCCTATTGCACCAAATAGGTCCTACTTGGGCAAAATGAAAATGTCTGATGGTACGTAGTATTAAGCCCCTCAAATTACAGTTTCAATTTTTATAAAAACCACCTTACGTCATATGTTATTTACCATGAATGAATCCCTACAAAATTTATCCGAACTCGATATGAAATTAAAATTATATGACTCAGAACATACGTTACCGGAACATAAGTTACTATTTAGGCTCCTTACAGAATGTATAAGCATGGTTAAAATTAAATGTAAATGTAGTGTAAAATTGAGACGGATTTTTATTCTATACAATATATATATTTTAAAAAATTAAATACAACTTGGAATTCATTCAATTCAATTTTTTTGAAATTTTTTTCGTGGGAAAATGCACCTCGGTATTGGGTTTGGGTGAGTAGTGAAATTAGTGTGATGTAGATCGCTACCACAATGAATTACAGTAGGACTGTTTGTGTGTGCGATATTCCTTGTGCTGTAGATAACGGTCATCTTGATTGCGTACGCTGGGTCTTGTTTCGCTTGATTAATTTTGTTTGTTTGTTTGTTTAGGTTTGATATTTTTACGCCACTGCATGTTATGTTATCATCGAAATCAGACATATCGATGAGGGAGGTGATGGGGGAGTGCAACATGCTGTTTTACATTACGAGGGGGGAGGTGGGGGGGAGGGGTCGAGTGGAGATGTCTATCACAGGAACAAGCAGAATGGAACACAAAACTCAGTGATCACAGAAAATGAAATCTGCAATGACCATAAATAAATATATCATCCTTTATAGGCAACAAATTGGATTGATTGACGGAGTCACGGAAAATAAACAGGGGATGAATTGGGACGATTGAGACTCACGCTTCATTTCTAGATTGGCTTAAATACTGTCAGTTGTCATAATATGAATAATGATGAAACCGAACTTTAGCTTTATTGGGCGCATGTTTGATACCTGAAATTAACCGGTAGATAAGTCAGCATTACGTAAGCATTATTTACCACAAAGGGGAATACCCTTAAAAAAATTCCAGAACTAATTCGGTCGCTTTGAGCATGCGTAGATTCTAAAAATGTTTGTTTCAGAACGTGCTTGCTTTTAATAGGCCTATTGCCGGTTAGGACTACAGTTACGTAGCTTACAAGAGCTGCTGGCAATTGTGTTTTTACCAGTGTGAAGTTTGTGAAGAGGAAAGCTCAGAGCAGATAACTCTGTACCGTTTTAGAAAGTGAAACAACATCGAAGAAGCCAACAGTGTCAGCAATTTCAGGTAGGGTCAGAGTAACTGTTCGTACTGTACTTTAATTATACATGCAGTTCATAGACGATTAAGGTATCCGTGGTCGAGCAATTTATTGACGATCGTTCTCATAGACAAAATATGTATGTACGCTGCCCCGAAAGAGGGTCTTACACCGGGTGTTTTTTTTTTCTTCTCTTCTTTTTTTTTTTTTTTTATGTGTGGTTCTCCAGATTTTGATTCCAATGTTTAGCATGTATGTACCAAATTTCTAAATGATGGTTTGATATTTCTACAAACTGTACTTCACTACCAATTGCGTTGATTACTTTCGTTTTTTTTTTTTTTTTTCTTTTTTTTTAACTACTGTACATGTTACCGCATTTGGTCTGTCTCTGTTAAAATTAATGAATGAATAAATGAGTATGTAACATTATTTTAAAAACATGGATGACAGAGCGGGAGGGACACACTGTACAGGTAATCGATGACTGAGTAATTTACAGCCCGATTTTACCACAATATAGGCCTAAACTTTGTTCTACCAAAATACCAAGCCAATTTACTGAGATAGCTTCTGCCTGTTAATTGGCCCAAACTAAAAAAGATGCAAGGAATTTCGAAGAACAATTATATTATCTAGTGCTCAAGAATCATACTGGGTCTTAGGTGTGTGTGTGTGTGTGTGTGTGTTTGATATCAGTAGGCCCTATGTGTTGCCCAGCAAATAAAACATGGTCAAACCTTCCCGTGAAATAGCCTACCACGTTCTAGGTGTAGGGCCTATTTTTCGCGCATTGGGGTCCTCAATAAGCGTTATAATTTCTCCCTAAGATCGGAAGTCAGAAAAAAGGAAATAAAAACTAATTAGCACATATTATTACTTCAAAATAAAAGAAGCATCTTAAAAATTACTGTCATCCGCAGTTCTATTAATACTTCAAAATAAAAAACGACATCTTAAAAATAACTACCGTCAGCAGTTCTTGGCGGGGAATCCCCCTGTAAAATGGGAACCTGAAACACATCGATTCTCTAAGTGCATTTGATTGCTGGTTTGCTTTACTTTCTAAACCGAGATTAGAAACTGACGAGGCCTAGTTTAGGTCTACAAATCAGTCACTTCACTCCTGTTCAGAAGTTAACACTAAAATACATTCATCTAAATAACAACAGAGAGAAGTTTCTATTATTGAAATGACCGGGGCATGCGCAGTGAGAGCTGTAACTTGACCCTAGGGCACGGTTTAAAATAGTCAGTGGCAAATATTTACTAGTCATGGTTTCGATCGCTGAGTTTCGCTAGTTTACTGATATTTAAGGGACATGCAAACTTTTGCTGCCATTCTATGAAGGGTGACGAAGCAGGTTAGTCAGGTTGAACATGTTTGATTCCTGTGTAGAATGATCTAGAATGTAGGAAATCGTGGTAAAGCTGATTTGTTGATTTGTTGAGCGGCTACTGTTTCTTTTCATTCCTGTTTTAAATCCAAGCGCCATTCCTCTCCGTCGGTTGGTTCTGCATGAGGGCGCGCAGTATCAGTCTATGTCGATCTTAAAAAAACGGTGCCTCTGTGTCACGAGTTCGAATACCGAACATCAGTATCAAAAATATGTTTCTGAATTGAAGTTGATTACTAGTACGAGTTAAGAAAATAGGGGCCCAATGCAGTAATGAGTCTTCAAAGTTCGAGGGTGTTCAAAGCGTATAACTTACTATGTTGACAGGTGCGAATTGAGGTGTGTGTTTAGAGGGGAGGGGGGGGGGGAGAATGAAGTGTTAGTGTTTAAGTCATATAGGCCCTAGGGACATTGATTTAGATACAGTATTTAGTATTTAGATACATGAGAACTATGTGACTGATGTGAAATCACCGTTTTCACCGAGTTTTCGTTATAAGCTGTCTGGAATATTACAAAAAACCAAAACGTTTGGACATTTTGGATGAAGAAATTGCCTTTGTAGGTTAGGCTGATGGGGGTCTTTGATCACTGCATACTTTAAACCTGTGGACTTAATGAACGACTTATTACATATAACATTATTATTAAGTTCAATGCAGCAATTTGGACTGAAAAGCCGGTCAAGAATGCGGAGTTTATTATAATAACAATAAGTACGAGTCGCCTCGTAAAAAAACTTTTACACAAAGGATGTTTCTGTATGGAAGTCGACCTAATTTATAAATGGCTTGATAGGCCAGCAAAGCATGCCTGCGTAGATATTAGCCAATACGAAACATATCAGGTGTGCTAATGAAACCGAAACCTGGTTAATTTCCCCGCGTACATGGTGAGTTCGTCAGATGTATTTAAAACTAAAATCGTAGATTTAAAACTGATGCAACCACAAAGGCTAGACAGAGCTAAGGGGGTTTTCACATGGGCTAACCCAGTCATCCTATGTTATAGTAGGTCTGTAGCTTTTTGAACGAGGACTCTACTTTTTTTTACACAGACCCGTAGAAAAAGACTTTTACACGTAGAAAAAGTCCCCTCTGCGTAAAATTTTATTCAGGTACATTTAGGGGCCTATTCATAAAAAGAACCCCCCTTTTGAAATTGCTGGCTACGGGCCTGTTACACTATTTATGTACTAGTATCGGTGATTTTTGCTGCCAGTGTTATCAAATGTGAAAGATAAGGCTATTTGCAGTCTGACATCAGAAGAAAAATATTCCGACTCAGTAAATTTCCCGGTCTTATCATAGGACGCACCATACAACTTGAGCAGGTGGCAAATCCTTTTCAACTTACAGAGCCGAACCAAACTTTACTGGCCCAAGTCCAATTATAAAAAATAGTTAAGACATTCAGAAAAGACAGGGTTCCTATTACAAATAAAAAGAAACATATGGAATTTTTAAAAGTTTATTTAAAAAAAGACTTCAACATTTAGCCTGAATATTTAAAAAGCGAATTGGAGTACATGTTACAGCTGGGAAAAAGCTGTCTATTCATGTGTTCATTTAATTTTAGTTATATTCATGTAATATCTTGCCATCTTTTTGTCCATTTGTTAATAAGATACCTATTTTTATTCATCTATTAAATTTTTTTTAAAACTAATTGATGACAGTAGAACACTTTCATCATTAATAATAAAAATATTAAAATACTAATGATGATAATGATGATGATGATATTTTATTTATTTTTGTTTTTTCAGTTGAATAATTCAACCTAACCAACCATCAACAAGTAAAAGCAGTCGGACGACAATGTCGGGAGAGGACGTTTTCCCCGAATCACAGTGGAAGGAAAAGGGGAGCACCTGCGCTTCCGACTATGAGGACAAAACGCGAACCAGTTTCGACTCCCTAACGCCTCACGAAACGCGGGCGTCGGAACGTCTACGCCGTTGCCCTTGGGCCAGCTCGAATAAAGGAAAGGCCATAAAGACTTGCGCTATAGTCTTCGGAGTCGTTTCGCTCGTTTTCGTTGGGTTGTTCCTGTACGGTTTCATACTTGTGGGCCCACTGAGGTCACAGGAAGCGAAATTATACAGGGACGTAGCGGAGCTGAAATCTCGACTTTTCAACAGTACTGTGATGTCGGCTATTGAGCAGTACTTCGTGGTCGCCACAAAAGTACGTAGATTATGGCTGAATCTAGAATTTTTGTGTAATAGAATTTAGAATTTTCGTGTAATAGAGACTTAAGTCTTCTGGGTGTAACAAAAAATCTGGATATTTGAGTATTGTTTGTGCATTTGTAGGTTTTATTTAAAAAGGTCCTCTGTAATCTCTGTTTTTATCTGTTTCTAACGTACATGTATAATATACACAAATCATCTGAAACTTATTCATTACCTCATTTTGTTCTGAAAAAATTTTGAAAAAAAAAATCCTCAGTTTTACTATTCATGATTTAAATGCTCTAGAAATCTAGGCCTACATAGTCATTCACCGCCGTCGACCTTTTACGTGTTCCGAACGGCTATTTAAGACGGATAACTGTATATGTATTCATATTAATTTTCCAGGATCTGAGCATTGAACAAGAACGCCGCATACTGATGGGTCATTATAATGATTCAATTAAAGTGAGTATCGTTAAGAGTCAAACGTCATTCGGGACTTTTTTAAATATTGATAGAATCAACAATTCCTTCACTCCTCGATTTGAAGTTGAAGCCTGTGTATGATAAAACGTTAATAATTTTACTATGCGGTTTATCGCACATGTGAAAAAGCGTTACACAAAATACAAGATGTGTTTTTCAAAATGTCATGCTGTGGTTTTAAAATGTGCATTCCTTCTATGGTTGTCATAGTGATGTCACAGTAATCTCAGCTGTCGCATGCTTGGTTTGATATTTTATAAGTAGAGGTCTGAAAAAAAATTGGCACCCGTTCATGATTATTTCACACAGAATTATGCTTGAAACTGTAAAAGATAATTTAAAAATTGAATTGAGAGAACCTGCAGCACATGATATCCTGTTCTCAATTTAGAATCTGACACAAGCGCACCAGAAAACAAAGGCACAATTGGCAGAACATGTCCAGCAGCTGGAAGATTTTTTTAACCATCTAACAGTAAGAGTAACACATTAACTTTATTTGTTTTGAGTAATAACAAGTAATTACATTTACATGTCATCTTGAATTTAAGTTGTAGCCAGTAGATCATAAAAGATAAGATTTTTTGTGTTGATTGTATTTGTGAAAAGGGCGTAATAGGGCCTACCACAAAATACAAGATGTCTGCCTTTTTTTAATTTACAGCCCTTTGATGATTGTCATTGTGACGTCACAGTGATCTCAGATGTTAAATGGTGTTATATTTGAAGCGTACATGAAAAAATAAAATTGGCATGCTAATTAAATAGTTAAAATTAAGAGTGAATTTTATGAAAGATAATTTTTAATGTGAATTGAAAGAACCCACATTCTGCTCGTATTTTAGAATCTGTCACAATCGCACGGGGCTACAAAGGCGCAATTGGTAGAATACAAGCGACTGCTGAATGACAGTTTTAATGATCTAAAGGCAAGAGAAAAACACATTTTGTAGTTTTGCGTATTAGCAATCTGATTCATTTGCATTGATAGGATCACTGTCATGTGTGAATGGGCAACGGTATTTATGTCATTTTCTGTTTTAAATAAACGCGATTTTTTGTTGAATATTTTCCTGCCTGTGGTATTAAACACCACGTCACCTAATCCTCACGTTTGGCATGTGTAATATCATGGTTTCCGGGAAACGCGTAAGACGGGTACAGAATATATTAAATAAAATGATGTCTCCAAAGGAACTTTTTCTCTAAACTTTAAGTAATATTTGGTAATTGCATTACATAAACTGGTAACAAATTATTTTTTCTTTTCATTTCAGAGTCTAATGCAAGATCACGAGGTGAGTGTTGCAACCTCTCGTGTTCATTGAATCGATGCCATCTTGAATTGTCGCGCTTTGTTTATAATTGCTACAAGAAGTCAGCAGCTGTTTTTTTTAAAGATCTCTTTCAATATTTTACGCATTGATACATATCATTTGATAACTGCAAAAAGATATTGCTGATGCTCGTTGAATTAATGCAAAAATTCGAATGAGTATTGCAGTAATTTTTGTCCCTCATATACATATACATGTATGTTAAAGAAATAATCGTCGTAGCATTTTGCACAGCTTCAATTTATAAAAGATGTGACATTTCGTATTATAGTTACTGGTGGCAGAAGTGGAAAGATTGGGTGGGAAGGTAAATAACAACGACAACCGCACAGCTGAGGCTTTTAGGAAGATGGACAGGCTGGAGCAGTTAATGCGACAAGTAAGTTAAGCAAATGATAATAATAATACTTTTTTTTTTCTAGGCAGAGGCTTTAAAATAAGCAAATGTCAAGTATGTATAGGTACTACTAACAGTGAGAGTGTTTTCAAAGATAAATCAAGAATATAAAAAAATAATTAATTTATTTGTCCTGTTGTTGGACGTAAGCGACAGTGTACAGAGCATGTTTAATCCTAAGCTCCGGCATTTAATTTTTGTTCTATTTTAACAGAATTTTTCCAGTATCAGACACAGTTTAAATGACGCGATTGAACGCAGTAGGCATCGACTGGATCTTCTTGAAGCAAAGCTGGACCAGAGTAAAACGGTAAACCTTTCTGGGGCACTTATTTATGCAAATATTGTCATTATTAAGCTGTATACGTTGTCAACCAGTACTTCAGTAGATGACGTCAACGTTTTATCTGCAACAACTGCATCTGATACTCTAATTATTTACAAAGAATTTCCAAAAAGGTTATTTCAAAAGGCCCCCTTTAAATTACTTGTATGGCCTTAGCTTCATTCGTTGTAACGTGCAATCTGCATATACAGAAAATCAATTTCCTGACGATTATATTAATACAGCTGCTATATTAATGTCATGTATTAATTGATATTAATACAGAAATCTACCAATTTAATCTATACGGAATGAAATATGATAAAATGATAATATTACAGGACTTGCAGCAGGACATGTCCAGCAAGATAAGTGCTCTGCAGGGAGATTTAAGCCAAAGTAAAGCTGATGTTGCGTCCATTAAAAGTGGCATCAGAGTAAGTCACATCTGTTGATTTCTAATCGACAAATTGATTTCATCGTGATTAACGGAAATGAAAATGCGTGGATAACATTGTTTTTGTATAGATATTTTTGGGGTAATTATGGCAAAAATTAGTGTGTGTGTGTGTGTGTGTGAGAGAGAGAGAGAGAGAGAGAGAGAGATGATAACTTTCACATTAAATTACAAAATACCAACAGTACATTTTGCTTCGCTTTTGAGAGGCACTCATCTAAGTCTTGATCATTTTCCTTTCGTTTTTCCTTACAGGAATTGAGAGGAAAATACGATAGGCTGGCTCTCGCCCTCTCGGGATCAACACTTCTGCAAGCTTCCATGACCACACTGCCCTTACTATTTGTATCAGTATTCGCGCCACTTTTCATGTAGGACACTTGTAAACGGGATTTAGTGTCATAGCCGTCAACAGAAGACCGGTTTTATTGCGAGCCCCCACTGTAAAGTTGACTTAAGTGCATGTTTATTTCTTTTAAAGCTTGATTGTGATAGGATACATGCCAAAATTCTTACTTAACCAGCTTCAGAAGACTACTGGTTTTTAGCACTAAGGGACAAGTATAAAAGGACCTCCCACCGATGTTTTATATCATCAAGACAGTGGTGATCTGTTTTTGTTAAGTGAACTCAGTATCTACGTATCTAACCTTTTATACAGACTGTGTATAATTATTATGCCTTTTTAGTACTTTTTTTTATTTTTCTGTTGCCAATGAGTGTGTCGTTACATTCAATAGCATTAAACTTGATGCCGAAAGATCGATCATGTTGACTATTGTATTGTATTGTATTGTATTGTATCGTATTGTATTGTATTGTAGAAAAGTAGCTGTGTTGTACAAAAGAAGATATTTTTAATGCCCTTAAATATGTATTTGTGAACTGCTATGTGCAACTTACATGTGGCCATCTTTGAAGGTCTTGTGAGCGCATAATTAAGTGTCGCTCGTTTTTGGCGCTATTTGTTTTCCATATTCACTTTGCTGAAAATCGCGTTTGGTTTTACATGTATTATTCACATATCAGAGACTTTTAAGGTTTATTTTGAAAAATCAAAGTGTAAAGATGAACATAGAAGTGCAATGCAAATTTATTTTTATTACGCATTTTTAACATTAAAGCCACAATGTGCTTTGGAAGTATATGTACAATCAGCTTATGAAGCTTTTTTTGTATTTTTCTTACTTCATTTATCAATCGTTATTTATTACTTTTATAATGTAGACTAAATGCTCACTTTAAAAGGTGCACATTTATTTTAATGGAAATTTTCACGTTTCCAAACTGAAAGCTAACGAAACGTGTTTCGACTTTCCATGTGGCACAAACGATATGATTTTTCTGTAAAATTGATATGGCTATGAAGAAAATGATGTAATTTGAGCTGACGCAGAAAATAATGTGTGATTTTTTTTCAGGAAAAGACTTCCACTGATTGAATTAATACTATACCATGTATGAAAAACTGAAGAGTGTTAATTACAATGTTTTCATTATGGTCCCTGACAGCCAGATAACAAAGAAAAAATTAAATTGTAGTGCAAAAACGTTGAAATTTTTTTGACCCAATTCTATAGCGTATATTTACATATCAAAACATTATCCTGCTTATCAGATCATATTTCTATCGTTTGTATAAAATGTTTATACCCTCACCCAGACACCAACAAGTGGTGTTAATGTGATAATGGAACACTGTACCTGTATCTATGTAAACTGCTATAAACATTTTGAATTAAAAAAAAAACATTTTGAATTAAAACATCAATCAAATATTAAATATTTATTCTTGGAGTAGCTAATCTAAAAATTGTAGCCTACAAGCAAAAAATCTTTTTGGGGGCGGGGGGATATGCTTTTTGCAGGAATATTTGCCATGGGGAAAAGGGGCCCCCTGCCGTCCCTACCCGCTAGTTTAACAATCAGTGCAAACAATCTTAACAGGTTTAATGTTTCTGTTGCCAAAATAGATAAGCTACCGGCAAACCGAGGAATTGTAGCAGGGAATTCCTTGGCTAAACGGACAATTCATGTTGTGAAGTTAGATGAAGTAGGATGCAACCTTAAACCTTTGTTGAAGCGTAAATTTTTCTCCAAGTGTGCACTCAGCATCAGTAATAGCTCTACGGAGGCCAAATGTAAGTGAATAAGAAGATTCGCTTGACATTAGCTCTTCCCTTAAATTCAGTCCGCTGTGAATCATCGAAACTGCCAAAAAGGAGTTCGGGGCACAGTCAGACTTCATAACGACAACGCTACCACTGTCACCTTCCCGAGAGAAAGGCTTGTCTCCCACCGATTTCACCAACAGAAGATTAGAATAGCCTTTAAGTAAATCGTTAATGTCAAGGTTGCCAACAACAATCCCCTCAGTATATCCAGTAGCGGCGCCATCTTTTTGGACTCTTTCACCTTCTAGATCCCCCAAATCACCCATAAACAAGCTACAATCATATGGTTCACCATGTGTCATGAAATCCCCTACATACTTTTCCTTCGCCGCAGCACTTATTTCTATAAAGGCGATGTGGACAAAGTCTTGCATTGGTTTCCATGTGGCTGGTTTCGAATATTTGATTGTTCCCACTGGAAGAAAACCAGTTGTTTAGGTTTGAAATTTTGACAATACTACATCAAATGTTATCATCTGAATTTGACCCATGGATGAAGTGTCCCAACACTGGGGGGGGGGGGGGGGGGGGGGGGGGGGGAAAGGGGGGAGGGATTGGGGGG